GTCGTCAACGTGGGACCTGACAGCTCTTCACCTCTTCCAATCCTCCCTAGAACTCCATAGTCATCGAGCTATCAGCACAACATGGCTCTCCGCCCCTCCCTCGTCCCCGGGACCGCCCCAAACAACACAAGACCGGTAGCAATGACCCCATTTATCGAGCAAAACATAGAAGTTCGAGGGACGTAATGCTGCCATACCACAACCCCAATTTGGCAACAGTGACGAGAATCCGCTACACTTCTGGTCCTGACCGGTAACAATGACAAAATGTTGTCCCGGGGGGAATATTTCCTGTATAGCAACGCATGGTTCAACCATTTTGGCGCGCTGCGTGACGTCACTTTACCGCGGGCACTTGGGGACACTTGCCTATTATGGCCAGAAGGCTATGTACTCTTTTTTTTCTTGACCGAGAGCGTAATTGGCCGTACTGTATCACAGCGTGACCTTGTCATACCAGGACACATGAGCCGGAAGCCTCAAATTCCTCACTGAAAAGATGTAACACGCTAAATCTGTTGTAATACTGTTGAGAAAACGGGCGCTGTCTTTTGACGTTGGTCTCGCCTACACCGACTGACCTGTTGACGATTTTCTTAGTTCCTCAACATTCGGCAGCCTGGCTTGTGGCTGGCTCCTCTGTGAGGTGGGTCAGCCACAGCCATCACAGCCAGCCTGGCTGACCAGCCTGGTCAGCCAGGCTGGTCAGGATAACCAGGCTGACCCGATAACTCCAGCAAGAACTGAAAGCTTTCACTGTTGTTCCTGCGACTTTATTATATTTGTAGGCACTAGTCTGAAGAGTCGTGGGAACCTCTTTATTTATAGTGTGTTCTCTAATTGGGAGTTTTCGTTGGATATGCTCTTGTCAACCTCCGTCTCTCACTTGTCAATGTCTCTCACTCCACTAGGTTGTAATTTTAGTAAGTTTGGAACGTGACTTTTTCCATTATTGTTGAGAATATTATGAGATATCTCTCTCGTTTCTGTTCCAAGGAGTGGCAGTTTTAGTAGGTCTCAGAAGTTGATGTGCTTCACTGATGCAATGATTATTCTTACCCCCCCCCTTGATCGCTGCTTCATTATTCTCATCCACCTCATTATTCTCATACAACCCCCCTTCCTCCCTCATTATTCTTATATATACCCCCCTCCTTGCCTCATTCTCATCCAAAGCCCTCCCTGCCTCATTATCCTCATCTAACCCCTTCTCTATAGCCACATTATTCTCATCCATACACTTCCCTCCCTCATTATTCTCATTCAACCCCCTTCCCAGCCTCATTCTTCACCACCTGTTCCAAGGAGTTCCACCATTCTGTTCCACCTGTTCCCCTTCCAACTAACCTTCCCCCACCATCAACAAAAGCACCTGCTTTTGTTTCTCTCTTGCGTCCAACAACCACAAAAAGGCTCCAACAATCGTCTGCTAACACAGCTTTTGTTATTACCTTTCAAGCATGAATTAAGAGCCGCACGACTCATAATTCCAACATCTCCAAGCCATGAAAAAGCATATTGCAGGCAAATTATTATTATAACTCATGGAGCCACGTCCTCGCAAGATGGGCAAAGAGCCGGCGTTGGAGGGAGAGGCAAAAACTGGCTCCCCCGGGACCCCTCCAACACCAACCTTCAAGACCGTCTTCACTACGACTTACGGCAAGAACACTGCACCCAACACCAACCTTAAGAACACCAATGCCGCGTTCTTCAGCAACGACTATTAATAGTGTTACTATTCATCCTCCTCCTTCTTCTTCTCTTCGTCCTCTTCCTTCTCCTTCTCCATCACACACGGCTTTCATTCCCAGTGAGACGAGGCACAAGAAACGTTCTCGCGTGAGGTAATGTTTCCCCCATAAGTAAACAGTATATCTGGAAGTCGTGGAGAGTCGGACGCTGAGTATTACTGGTTGCCCCACAGATAATGTCTGCAAGAGGTCTTCATGGTGAAGGTCAAGGGAAGGTCACAAGATGCTGCCTCGAGTGTCCTCGACGCTGTTCATGGTTGCTGTACCTCATACCGGTGGAATGTTAAGTGCTTCTGAAGAAATATATTCATTCTCATGTACCTGCCTTGCCCCCCATCGACTCATGTTTCGTATTCCTCAGCTGTAGCCTCGTACGTCTTCTGCATGTCAACATGTTTCCGTCTTCCCCTTGGATAAACCACTTGTTAATAATCGTCTTTACCCTTGACCTGTGTGTTTGTCCTTGTATCTCTGATCTGGCTGGTCCTGTCTGTGGCTTGGCGTGTTCCAAGGCTGGCGTCTGGCGTGACTTGTACCGTGACCACCATGACTCTAGTGATGTGTTCAGGGACATGTTCTATACAATACCAAGCACCAATTGGTCCCACTGAAGTAATGGGCACACAATTTGCTTTTAACATTATATATCCTTGTTTCTGCTGGGAAAACAGTACTGCAGTTTAATAGGAACGACTGATTTGACCCGTTATTCTCCATATATATACATTTTGACCCTGTGGTGTATTACTATATGGATAAATACAATAGATTGACATCGAGTGGTTACAGAGTATAGTAATGTCGACGCTGGAGGCGTTTGAGGTTAACCAGTGTTGAAATAAGTGATGATGGCTCACACTCTGATCTCCTTTCACATTTTTTCGCTTCATTATCTTACATTTGTTGGGACTGAATTCTAGCAACCAATGGTTTTGCCAACTCCTTTAAGTGAGGACGCCAGGCCAGTGGCCACCAGGTACACCTGAAGTGTACACCCGCCGGCGCCTCCCCGGTTCTTCAGCCCCGGCTCCTTGCGGTGGGCGTAATGGGATGCGGTTAGTGGTAGTCGAGGCCAGAGGGGTGGTGACCTTGCCACCGTCGACCACAACACCCACACACTCAGCCAGTACACTGAGCCAGTACACTGAGCCAGTACACTCAGCCAGTACACTGAGCCAGTACACTGAGCCAGTACACTGAGCCAATACACTCAGCCAGTACACTGAGCCAATACACTCAGCCAGTACACTCAGCCAGTACACTCAGCCAGTACACTGAGCCAATACACTGAGCCAGTACACTGAGCCAGTACACTGAGCCAATACACTCAGCCAGTACACTGAGCCAATACACTCAGCCAGTACACTGAGCCAATACACTCAGCCAGTACACTCAGCCAGTACACTGAGCCAGTACACTGAGCCAATACACTCAGCCAATACACTGAGCCAATACACTCAGCCAGTACACTCAGCCAGTACACTGAGCCAGTACACTGAGCCAATACACTCAGCCAGTACACTGAGCCAGTACACTGAGCCAATACACTCAGCCAGTACACTCAGCCAGTACACTGAGCCTGTACACTCAGCCAGTACACTGAGCCAGTACACTGAGCCAATACACTGAGCCAGTACACTGAGCCAATACACTCAGCCAGTACACTGAGCCAATACACTGAGCCAGTACACTGAGCCAATACACTCAGCCAGTACACTCAGCCAATACACTGAGCCAATACACTCAGCCAGTACACTCAGCCAGTACACTGAGCCTGTACACTCAGCCAGTACACTCAGCCAGTACACTCAGCCAGTACACTCAGCCAGTACACTGAGCCAGTACACTGAGCCAGTACACTGAGCCAGTACACTCAGCCAGTACACTCAGCCAGTACACTCAGCCAGTACACTCAGCCAGTACACTCAGCCAATACACTCAGCCAGTACACTGAGCCAATACACTCAGCCAGTACACTTAGCCAATACACTGAGCCAGTACACTCAGCCAGTACACTCAGCCAGTACACTGAGCCAATACACTCAGCCAGTACACTGAGCCAATACACTGAGCCAGTACACTCAGCCAATACACTGAGCCAGTACACTCAGCCAGTACACTGAGCCAGTACACTCAGCCAGTACACTGAGCCAGTACACTGAGCCAGTACACTCAGCCAGTACACTCAGCCAGTACACTCAGCCAGTACACTGAGCCAGTACACTGAGCCAGTACACTCAGCCAGTACACTGAGCCAGTACACTGAGCCAATACACTCAGCCAGTACACTGAGCCAATACACTCAGCCAGTACACTCAGCCAGTACACTGAGCCAATACACTCAGCCAGTACACTCAGCCAGTACACTGAGCCAATACACTCAGCCAATACACTGAGCCAATACACTCAGCCAGTACACTCAGCCAATACACTCAGCCAGTACACTGAGCCAGTACACTCAGCCAGTACACTGAGCCAATACACTCAGCCAGTACACTGAGCCAATACACTGAGCCAATACACTCAGCCAGTACACTGAGCCAATACACTCAGCCAGTACACTGAGCCAGTACACTGAGCCAGTACACTGAGCCAGTACACTGAGCCAGTACACTGAGCCAGTACACTGAGCCAGTACACTCAGCCAGTACACTCAGCCAGTACACTCAGCCAGTACACTGAGCCAATACACTCAGCCAGTACACTGAGCCAGTACACTCAGCCAGTACACTGAGCCAGTACACTCAGCCAATACACTGAGCCAGTACACTCAGCCAGTACACTGAGCCAGTACACTGAGCCAGTACACTCAGCCAGTACACTGAGCCAGTACACTGAGCCAGTACACTGAGCCAGTACACTGAGCCAGTACACTGAGCCAGTACACTCAGCCAGTACACTCAGCCAGTACACTGAGCCAGTACACTGAGCCAGTACACTGAGCCAGTACACTCCACCATCGCCGCTTCACTCACTGACTCCACGCGCCGCTTAGTGTATTCAACCAAAACAAATATAATTAAGGGTTTGCTGATGTACATCAAAAGGAAACAAGTTTGAGAGAACGCAGCAAGCAATCAGGGTGACAGTAATGACCATGCCTGGGAACATGATATTATTAAAGATTTGTTTTTAACAGGAGAGGGACGGGCCATTACTGAGGAATCTTGATGCTGGGGGATATTAGCATTATTTGTCATGTTTTGTGTACAAGATGATCAAGAGCCAAGTCAATGCTTGCATACCTTAGATATAATTGTCAGCCAGGATTAAGACGCCTCTCCTAGGTGTCATAGAGGTGAAGGAACGGAATACGAGACAGCTATTAGCTACACGCAAATAAGAATTTGTAAGACAATTTTTTACTCCATGATGACAAGAGTCCCAATAGTTACTCTTGACACCACGAGGACAGACGTCCCAGTAGTTACTCTTGACACCACGAGGCCAGACGTCCCAGTAGTTACTCTTGACACCACGAGGACAGACGTCCCAATAGTTACTCTTGACACCACGAGGCCAGACGTCCCAATAGTTACTCTTGACACCACGAGGCCAGACGTCCCAGTAGTTACTCTTGACACCACGAGGACAGACGTCCCCGTAGTTACTCTTGACACCACGAGGACAGACGTCCCAGTAGTTACTCTTGACACCACGAGGACAGACGTCCCAGTAGTTACTCTTGACACCACGAGGACAGACGTCCCAGTAGTTACTCTTGACACCACGAGGACAGACGTCCCAGTAGTTACTCTTGACACCACGAGGACAGACGTCCCAGTAGTTACTCTTGACACCACGAGGCCAGACGTCCCCGTAGTTACTCTTGACACCACGAGGACAGACGTCCCAGTAGTTACTCTTGACACCACGAGGACAGACGTCCCAGAAGTTACTCTTGACACCACGAGGACAGACGTCCCAGAAGTTACTCTTGACACCACGAGGACAGACGTCCCAGAAGTTACTCTTGACACCACGAGGACAGACGTCCCAGAAGTTACTCTTGACACCACGAGGACAAACGTCCCAGAAGTTACTCTTGACACCACGAGGACAGACGTCCCAGTAGTTACTCTTGACACCACGAGGACAGACGTCCCAGAAGTTACTCTTGACACCACGAGGCCAGACGTCCCAGTAATTACTCTTGACACCACGAGGACAGACGTCCCCGTAGTTACTCTTGACACCACGAGGCCAGACGTCCCAGTAGTTACTCTTGACACCACGAGGACAGACGTCCCCGTAGTTACTCTTGACACCACGAGGACAGACGTCCCAATAGTTACTCTTGACACCACGAAGGCAGACGTCCCAGTAGTTACTCTTGACACCACGAGGACAGACGTCCCAGTAGTTACTCTTGACACCACGAGGACAGACGTCCCAGTAGTTACTCTTGACACCACGAGGCCAAGAATGCCACATGCACAGTTCAGGTGTTTTCGAATCACCTCTGATGAATGCCGTCTCATGTAAGCACTCCCCAGCCTGATGCCATAAACAAGGAAGGTAAAACTTCTTGTATCAAACAGGAAACATTGCCTGTACAAGCGTAGACATGACGAAGAAAGATACAGACATGTTCCTCCCAGAAATGCCGGACCAACTGGGCTGTAGTGGGTATGTGGAGGGCCTGCGGGCCGCTCCAGGCAACACCAGCCTGTTGGATCAAGTTATCACAAGTCAAGCCTGGCCTCAGGTCGGCTTTGAGGACTGAAAGAACTCTCATAACCCACTCCAAGTATACTCTAGGTATACTCCAGAGAATCCCACGCAACCCACTTTGTTGTTCAAACTACACTACTCCCAGAAATAAGGGTGTGACAGAAGGTAAATTACAAACACAGAAATGGGTATAGAAAGTTTTAATATTAAGAACAAAGCTTTCTTTACAATCGAATAAAACGGTAATTAAGGACAGTTGACCAGACAACACACTAGAAGGTGAAGGGACGACGACGTTTCGGTCCGTCCTGGGCCGTTCTCAAGTCGATTGTGACTTTTCATTCACAATCGACTTGAGAATGGTCTAGGACGGACCGAAACGTCGTCGTCCCTTCACCTTCTAGTGTGTGGTCTGGTCAACATACTTCAGCCACGTTATTGTGACTCATCGCCTGCATGCGGTAAGGGCGGAAGAGAGCATCAAATTCGTAAAACTTTATACGTAAATGGTCGTAAACATATAATTATACTTACACACAAATTCCGTACAATTATTTACACAACCAAATAATAATAGCAGCATATTACGTAATTGTTATAATTATTTGTCATATAATTTAGATTTGAGGCGTAATTCCTAAGTTAGTTGTACAAATCATTACAGATGTGGCTGGAGTGAACAGGTGTATACATGTGGCAGGAGTGAACAGGTGTATACATGTGACTGGAGTGAACAGATGTATACATGTGGCAGGAGTGAACAGATGTATACATGTGACTGGAGTGAGCAAATGTATCCATGTGACTGGAGTGAACAGGTGTATACATGTGACTGGAGTGAACAGATGTATACATGTGACTGGAGTGAACAGGTGTATACATGTGACTGGAGTGAACAGATGTATACACGTGACTGAAGAGAATTACTTCGTAACAGTAATTCCTTAATGATACCAAATATACAGCTGGGGGTCTTTCTCAGCTGACTATAGTTGTTTTAGTCCTGTATATACCTGACATACATCCTTATATACATCACTCATTCTTAAGTTGTATTTCCTAACAACCAAGTTGATAGTTCAGGTACAATCTGAGAGACAATTAACGAATGAATGAACAACAGAGAGAAGTGTTACATCTCACGTCTTTGATGTTCAGGTGATTCGCGGGAGAGACAAATATCATCATTGCTGTCTTGTGATGGTTCCTACCTGGGTGGCAGTAATTGCCTGAATGAGGCTCATTTATCATCACTTCTGGAAGGTAACGGTGGGTAACGAGTCTCCCAGTAGTGAGCGCTCTCTCCAATTCAATTACCGACTGCCCAATCAACAATGATGTTAGACCGACACTCATGAGACACGAGGAGCTTTGTAACTCATTCACGCACTCACACTAATATATATTAACATCACCCCCCCAAGTTAGCTTGTTAATGCATTCAGTGCCCGACACATGAGTGCCCAACCCCCACGGAGTGAGAGAATCGACGGCAGGGTGAACCTAACGGCCCCATAACCCCCCCTCCCAAGGGGGGGGGGCATGGGGGGGCAGGGGGGGGGTATACGTGTGTGTGTGTGTGTACAGACTACAGTAGCAGCACAGTTCCGTGTAGCTGGGCTCGTTAACACGTCTCCAGTAACAGGTAGCCACCAGCTGCAGGATGGATAAAGTGCTTACAACACGACAGATGCGACAGTAAGTAGCGCCTCGGACCATTTTCTCTCTCACTCTTCCGGGGGAGCGGGGTTGACCACTGCTGGTGGCGGGGGGGGGGGGAGGTGAAAGGGGGGGGGTGTGACCAGTATGGGGGAAGGGGGGGGAAGGGGGGGGAAGGGGGGGAAAGAGATGGTTGGGTTGTTATTGGGAGGAGGAAGGTTCACACTGCTCCCTCGGAACAACACAGTCGACGCCCAGCTCTACCTGACAACTAACCTTCAACAAATAAGCCTTAAATACATCACATCAGTCTTAAATACATCAAATACAGTATTATGGTCCAGCTAGCACCTTCCGCACGCACGTATTATGTAGCATAGGGAGCACGCAACACCGTATGCAGGACCCCCGCACGCAATACCCCATGCAACACCCCGCACGCATTGAACGCACGCAACATTGATAAGAGTTTGTCAGTAATAAGCCCGCTTAGGTGTCGCCTCACCAAAGTTCTGCTCGCCAAAATTGACTAATTTCTCTGGGGGTGAGTGGGGGGGTGTCTTGTCTGGCATTTGTCTCAACGCGCTGCCACAAGGGGGCGTCCCCAACCAACCATTGCCATTATTCAGTCCACGATTGGCTTTGATTTGCTTCGACATCGCTATGAAAATATCTTCATTTTTCTATTAAAATTCCTTTCTGCTTGTGGGGGGGTTAATTAGCTTCCCCCCCCCCGTTTATGACGACCCGTTGACTGTCTTCTAGTTGTCGGGCAACACCCCCTCTCCTGTGTCTTGTAGACAGGATTCCCTTATTTCGAAATGTGTCTACATATGTAGGAATATTTTGGTCTAGTAGTCTGAGATCGGAGTTGCCTTCACTACGAAGTTTGGGTCACATAAAAGCTTCAAATATCCTCCCCCCCCCCCCCCCCGTGTTTCAATGCTCCTTGTGCTTTTTTTATCCCAGTGTTCTAATGTTCCTTGTGTGATAATGCTGCCTGTGTTGTAATGTTCCCTGTGTTGTAATGTTCCCTGTGTGCTAATGCCCCCTGGATTCCAATGCTCCCTATACTCTAATTTGCCCGTTGCTTCCCAGCATCATCATCATCAACAGCAGCATGAACAACAGAAGGAGCATCAGCAGCAGTAGCAAGAGCAGCAGCAGCAGGAGGAGGAGGAGGAGCAGCAGCAGGAGCAACAGGAGGAGGAGAGGAGCAGCCGCAGCAGCAGGAGCAGCAGCAGCAGCAGGAGGAGGAGGAGGAGGAGGAGCAGCAGCAGCAGCAGCAGTAGGAGCAGCAGCAGCAGCAGGAGGAGGAGCAGCAGCAGCAGCAGCAGCAGCAGCAGCAGCAGGAGCAGCAGCAGCAGGAGGAGGAGGAGCAGCAGCAGCAGCAGCAGCAGCAGGAGCAGCAGCAGCAGCAGGAGGTGGAGCAGCAGCAGCAGCAGGAGCAGCAGCAGCAGCAGCAGGAGGAGCAGCAGCAGCAGCAGCAGCAGCAGCAGGAGCAGCAGCAGCAGCAGCAGCAGCACCAGGAGCACCAGGAGCAGCAGCAGCAGCCGTCAGTAGAGAGAGAGGGAGCGCCCCAACAAACAACCCCCCCCCCCCCCGCCATCACCACAACATCCTGCCATTACACACCCACAGATCGTACGCTACTTTCTGCTTGGCTGACACCCTATACCTTGTGGAGGTGAGCGCTCCCGTGGCTCCACCAACACGCTACAAGAAAGTACCGCCCTTTAATTTGCTGACAAGAGCCTGTGTTATCACCAAGCTCCCGGGCCCGGCTCTACAGTGGTAAATTACTTAAATATCCAGGGGGGGGGGAGGACACGAGACAGGGAATGGAGGCTATTGGACCCTGTGACCTTCAGTGATTGGAAGCGCTTTTTTTTTGTCTTGACTTTCACTTGAAGTCATTACTGGAGGCCTGAGGGCGAAGGTGTGCTGGCTCACAATGGTCGCTGCTGTCGTCGCCGGCTGATGCCAATTACGGGAGGGTGTCTCTCATCACAATCTGCGAGGTGATACCAGAGTTTAGGTGGTGACTGCCAGCCCTTATACTTGGTCATACCAAGACTTGGTGATGGGACTGCCAGCCCTTATACTTGGTCATACCAAGACTTGGTGATGGGGGCTGCCATCCCTTATACTTGGTTATACCAAGACTTGGTGATGGGGGCTGCCATCCCTTATACTTGGTCATACCAAGACTTGGTGATGGGGGCTGCCATCCCTTATACTTGGTTATACCAAGACTTGGTGATGGGGGCTGCCATCCCTTATACTTGGTTATACCAAGACTTGGTGATGGGGGCTGCCACCCCTTATACTTGGTTATACCAAGACTTGGTGATGGGGGCTGCCATCCCTTATACTTGGTTATACCAAGACTTGGTGATGGGGGCTGCCACCCCTTATACTTGGTTATACCAAGACTGGGTGATGGGGGCTGCCACCCCTTATACTTGGTTATACCAAGACTTGGTGATGGGGGCTGCCATCCCTTATACTTGGTTATACCAAGACTGGGTGATGGGGGCTGCCACCCCTTATACTTGGTTATACCAAGACTTGGTGATGGGGGCTGCCATCCCTTATACTTGGTTATACCAAGACTGGGTGATGGGGGCTGCCACCCCTTATACTTGGTTATACCAAGACTTGGTGATGGGGGCTGCCATCCCTTATACTTGGTTATACCAAGACTGGGTGATGGGGGCTGCCACCCCTTATACTTGGTTATACCAAGACTTGGTGATGGGGGCTGCCATCCCTTATACTTGGTTATACCAAGACTTGGTGATGGGGGCTGCCACCCCTTATACTTGGTTATACCAAGACTGGGTGATGGGGGCTGCCATCCCTTATACTTGGTTATACCAAGACTTGGTGATGGGGGCTGCCATCCCTTATACTTGGTTATACCAAGACTGGGTGATGGGGGCTGCCACCCCTTATACTTGGTTATACCAAGACTGGGTGATGGGGGCTGCCACCCCTTATACTTGGTTATACCAAGACTTGGTGATGGGGGCTGCCACCCCTTATACTTGGTTATACCATGACTTGGTGATGGGGGCTGCCATCCCTTATACTTGGTCATACCAAGACTTGGTGATGGGGGCTGCCACCCCTTATACTTGGTTATACCAAGACTTGGTGATGGGGGCTGCCATCCCTTATACTTGGTCATACCAAGACTTGGTGATGGGGGGCTGCCATCCCTTATACTTGGTTATACCAAGACTTGGTGATGGGGGCTGCCATCTCTTATACTTGGTTATACCAAGACTTGGTGATGGGGGCTGCCACCCCTTATACTTGGTTATACCAAGACTTGGTGATGGGGGCTGCCACCCCTTATACTTGGTTATACCAAGACTTGGTGATGGGGGCTGCCACCCCTTATACTTGGTTATACCAAGACTTGGTGATGGGGGCTGCCATCCCTTATACTTGGTTATACCAAGACTTGGTGATGGGGGCTGCCATCCCTTATACTTGGTTATACCAAGACTTGGTGATGGGGGCTGCCACCCCTTATACTTGGTTATACCAAGACTTGGTGATGGGGGCTGCCACCCCTTATACTTGGTTATACCAAGACTTGGTGATGGGGGCTGCCATCCCTTATACTACGTTTTACCAGTACTTGGTTGTGACCTTTCTTTTAAAGAACACAATAAAGTAGCTGTCACAACTTCAAGAAAAATGACAGGATAACAAGACCCTTCCAAACAAGAGACGCCGTACCAGTGATGATACTGGTACGGTGATATCAAGACGCTAATGCTCTCTAGGGTGGAACACTGTTGCACAATAACAGCCCTGGTCAAAGCTGGAGAAATTTCTGACCTGGAGAGTATGCAAAAAGTTCCTTTACTGCTAGAATCAACTCATTAAAACATCAAAATTATTTGGACTGCTTATAGAGGGACCGGTTTAAAATCTGCACAAGGGACCACGAGGCATGGCAGGATGTGAAAAATATCCCTTTTGAAAAGCAGAGGTTCAATAGGTATGCTGAGGGAGAACTCGATCAACATCATGGGCCCTAGAGACTGTTCAACACTCCCCCACTACACATAAGGGGCATAAATGCCCCGGCCTCTCACAGTGTTCAAATGAGAACTTGATCAACACCTTCACAGGATAAAAAACCCAACCACTTGGGCCGGACGGTAGAGCGACGGTCTCGCTTCATGCAGGTCGGCGTTCAAATCCCGGCTGTCCAGGTGGTTGGGCACCATTCCTTTCATCAGTCCTATCCCAAATCTCTATCCTGATCCTTTCCAAGGGCTATTCTAGATAGATAGATACATAGATAGATAGATAGATAGATAGATAGATATATAGATAAATAGATAAATATATAGATAATTATATCATAGATTATTTATTCATATATATATATATATATATATATATATATATATATATATATATATATATATATATATATATATATATATATATATATATATGACAATGTCAGACCACGAAGGAAAAATGAAACAGGAAATTTCCTTAAGTACTTTCGTATATTAAATACATCTTCAGAAGGAAGACCTTCTGAAGATGTATTTAATATACGAAAGTACTTAAGGAAATTTCCTGTTTCATTTTTCCTTCGTGGTCTGACATTGTCACATTCTTAATCACGTGTTTATTTTCGTGATATACACACACATATATATATATATATATATATATATATATATATATATATATATATATATATATATATATATATATATATATATATCCTTACCTTACCGTCAGAGAATTTAGATCAACCAGGCTATGAGTCAGTCAAACTTCACGCTGAAAGCAGCAGTCGCGTCCAACAGTCTAGTTGACCAGACCACCAAACAGGAGGCCTGGTCAGAGACTGGGCCTCGGGGACGTTGATCCTCGGAATCATTTCAAGGTAAGAACCTCTTACCCTATACTCGGAACCCTAATGATTGGCTCACAACCTTAATCTTAGGCTCTGATCCATAATTCTAAACTCAAAGAGGGTAAACGTGAGGAAGGACTGAAGGTAAGAGAGAAGGAATCCCCCCAGTGCCAAGCAGAATCCTGGCATACGGCCACCAGTAACACCACAGAGCCAGGAGCACCAGTGCCTATCAAGGCGGGAGGCCTACAGTGCCACACCAGAACAGGGGATAATCCGTGGAAACACAAACCGAAACTGTCTCTATTTTCCGCTTGTTACAACATGTAATAAAGTTGTTACATGTTGGTTTAACGTGTTGGAACACCAGTGTTACCTAGAGGCCCAAGAGTACCCTCTTGGGCTCTATAGGTGATTGTTGCCTCATCAATACCAAATATATAATAACAACACCAGCAGAAAAGATCCCGGCACAATAGAGCCTTACCTAGAGAGCACCGTCCTCCCTCGTAGCTCTCCTTCAGCTCTATCAGGGGGTCGCCAAAGTGGTCCTGCCCAACAGCCATCCTCCCAAACACTCGTTACTGGTCACATGGGAGGAGGTCATGACCCCATCACTGAGCCTACCGTGATCGTGCTCACCACGCAGCCCTCCTCAGCACAGGGTGGAGACGGCGGCACGGAGGGGAGACACTCCCCACTCAGCGGTTCATCTCCTCAAGACAGCTCTTGACAACGTGGGTCTTCACCCTCGATGACATCTAAGACCTCGAGGCTAAAGTCGTCTTTCGCCTCCGTTAATTCTTGATGGGGGTGTGACTCGCCTACAGTGGAGTGGGCAGCGTCGATCATTGTCCAGGGAAGTGGTTGACTGGCCCCAAGACATTCAACAGGACTTTCCTTTCACTCTGAGGAAAGTGACTGACTGGCTCAATTAAGACATTTACCTCTTGAGGAAAGTGACTGACTGGCTCAATTAAGACATTTACCTCTGAGGAAAGTGACTGACTGGCTCAATTAAGACATTTACCTCTGAGGAAAGTGACTGACTAACCCAAGACAGTGGCCTCTGGTCTTGAAATAGAAAAGGTGCCACGAGAACAGGGGGCACAGTGAGCACTGGTCAATAAGTGTCCACGGAAGGAGGAATAAAGTGGTCGCTGTGACCCAGTTGCCACACAAGTGTCCACGGAGCCACACTTGCTCCGGGCAGCTCCGTGACCACAGAGCCTGGCCTTGGGTCAGTAACACTTGTGTGACCTCAAGCACGTCCGAAAGTTTAGGTCTGCGCGTGCTCAACTTTATCATTCAGTTCAGTTCTGGATAGCAGCCAGGGTTCCACCAGCAAGCACAGTTCAGTTGAGGATAGCAGCCAGGGCTCCACCACGAAGCACACTTTAGGTCAGGATAGCAGCCAGGGCTCCACCAGCAAGCACAGTTCAGTTCAAGATAGCAGCCAGGGGCTCCACCACCAAGCACAGTTCAGGTCAAGATAGCAGCCAGGGGCTCCACCACCAAGCACAGTTCAGGTCAAGATAGCAGCCAGGGGCTCCACCACCAAGCACAGTTCAGGTCAAGATAGCAGCCAGGGGCTCCACCATCAAGCACAGTTCACTTCCAGATAGCAGTCAGGGGCTCCACCAGCAAGCACAGTTCAGGTCAAGATAGCAGCCAGGGGCTCCACCATCAAGCACAGTTCACTTCCAGATAGCAGCCAGGGGCTCCACCAGCAAGCACAGTTCAGGTCAAGATAGCAGCCAGGGCTCCACCACCAAGCACAGTTCAGGTCAAGATAGCAGCCAGGGCTCCACCACCAAGCACACTTCAGTTCAAGATAGCAGCCAGGGGCTCCACCACCAAGCACACTTCAGTTTAAGATAGCAGCCAGGGGCTCCACCAGCAAGCACAGTTCAGGTCAAGATAGCAGCCAGGGCTCCACCACCAAGCACACTTCAGCTTAAGATAGCAGCCAGGGGCTCCACCAGCAAGCAGCCCGACTCGTCCCCACAACACCCAGCACTCACACCAACACATAATCTCTCTCACACAAAGTAAAAATACTTTCTATGTATTCTCGTCACACACGCACTGAGGTCCCCACCTGTTATGCTTTGAGTGACGCTTCCGGGCGGTGATTACTGCACTCCTTGTTCCCTGGTGAGCTGTCTGCCTGCACCCGATATATCTCTTTAACCCTTACTGTGGCTCCTTAATCTTCACTGTGGCTCCTTAATCTTCACTGTGGCTCCTTAATCTTCACTGTGGCTCCTTAATCTTCACTGTGGCTCCTTAATCTTCACTGTGGCTCCTTAATCTTCACTGTGGCTCCGTAATCTTCACTGTGGTTCCTTAATCTTCACTGTGGCTCCATAATCTTCACTGTGGCTCCTTAATCTTCACTGTGGCTCCTTAATCTTCACTGTGGCTCCTTAATCTTCACTGTGGTTCCTTAATCTTCACTGTGGCTCCATAATCTTCACTGTGGCTCCTTAATCTTCACTGTGGCTCCTTAATCTTCACGGTGGCTCCTTAATCTTCACTGTGGTTCCTTAATCTTCACTGTGGCTCCATAATCTTCACTGTGGCTCCTTAATCTTCACTGTGGCTCCATAATCTTCACGGTGGTTCCTTAATCTTCACTGTGGCTCCTTAATCTTCACTGTGGCTCCTTAATCTTCACGGTGGCTCCTTAATCTTCACTGTGGCTCCTTAATCTTCACTGTGGCTCCTTAATCTTCACGGTGGCTCCTTAATCTTCACTGTGGCTCCTTAATCTTCACTGTGGCTCCTTAATCTTCACGGTGGCCCCTTAATCTTCACGGTGGCTCCTTAATCTTCACTGTGGTTCCTTAATCTTCACTGTGGCTCCTTAATCTTCACTGTAGCTCCATAATCTTCACGGTGGCTCCTTAATCTTCACTGTGGTTCCTTAATCTTCACGATGGTTCTCTTAATCTTCACGGTGGCTCCTTAATCTTCACTGTGGCTCCATAATCTTCACGGTGGCTCCTTAATCTTCACTGTGGCTCCTTAATCTTCACTGTGGCTCCTTAATCTTCACGGTGGCTCCTTAATCTTCACGGTGGCTCCTTAATCCTCACTGTGGCTCCTTAATCTTCACTGTGGCTCCTTAATCTTCACGGTGGCTCCTTAATCTTCACTGTGGTTCCTTAATCTTCACTGTGGCTCATTAATCTTCACTGTGGCTCCATAATCTTCACGGTGGCTCCTTAATCTTCACTGTGGTTCCTTAATCTTCACGGTGGTTCTCTTAATCTTCACGGTGGCTCCTT